AGGATCTGCTACGAATCATATGTATGAAAATGCTTGGAACAAAATAGAACATAAAGTAAATGTTAAAAAATCCATCATTCGAATAACTTCAATGCTCGAGCTTATATTTTGGCATGAACAACATCTATGGTAATGCAGTTGTTTCAGCCGAACCTATGACCTCGAGTCTACAAAAGGTAGTTGGATCTTTGAATTGCTCTCGTCACGCTATCGACACTCGCTTTCATGGAGGAGCGATTGAGGAAGACAACATTGCCAAAGTTATACAAAGGTGCGCTTATGCCTAAACGTGTGCATCAATATTGTATACCATTTTCCAGATTTGTGACTACCACCGTGTCGCAGTGGTTTAGTAGGGAGCTGCAGTTGATACCCTTGTCTCAGCAATCTGCGGAACATCTGAGCCGAACCTTATCAAAATGTATTTTTTAGATGCATTCTACAACTTTTAATTGGCAATTTTCTAGATGAAATTTCCAATACAGAAGTCAATTTTGTCAATCTGCCGATTATTTCGAATGCAGTGGACGCCATAATCGAAGCTCTTTCAAAACCTTTGGCGGATGAAGACGAGGTGATATTATAGGACAACATTGTTGAGATTATCATATTTTTCTGTTGCAGATCTTCATGGTTTGCCTTCGGCTTCTACTTTTCGTTGTGGCTGCTCGTAAACCATTAGATGCACGCACAGGATGTGCATTTCTTTATATTGCATGGGAGCAAGTCCAACGTGTAATGTTGAAGCATGGGTTAGTACCAGCCATTCGATATGAAGGGGGGGGGGTCTTATCGCGGACGTTCAGGGTGAACGCCTTACTGCCTAGAAATTTTCGTATCCGTTAGAACATCAAAAAATGATTTTTTTCACTCAAATTTCACATCCAAGGATTTTGCTCGGAACATGTCGAATTTGTGATCAGAAGAGATTGGCCAAGCGCTCCGCTGTGTTTTTTGTAGCATCGAAACTTTTGTGTAGGAATCCTCTAGATCTTAGAGACAGCTGCGATCACTCAAAATGGGTCTGACACGCTAAAAATTTTTTCTACAAGCAAAAATCACAGTAGGAGAACGAAGCGGGATGAAGTCATTTGTCTTTAGTTCAAAGTTGGGCAGAAAATTTCTGTGGTGTTGAGCTACCAAAATTCTTGGGAATTCGTAAACAGGCGAAGTAGTTCCACAGATTGTATACAAATTTTTCATTTTAGATGTGCTCCTCTCTTGAAAATAGCTCAACAAATGAATAAGGGCTGGTCGCTGGATGCTTATCAACGATTTATCAACGATTATTTACCGTTATACGAAAAGCATCGACTAGTCAATCCTTTTACTAGCGAGGAAGAATGCCAGAAGTAGGCTTTTCGGGCTAATCTATGGCGTGTACTGGCAAACTAGCTGTTTCCAGATTTACCTCCACAATCAACATCAAAGCAAGTGATGGAATGGATGTTGACAAAATTGTACCACCTACGGATGACGAGGAAATAGTATTCACACAAAAGCCTTCTCCTATCGCCAGCGCCTTGCATCTGAGTGTACTCATGAAGAAGTTACATGCTTTCTTTGCTACAGGAGCATTCGATTCAGTACGAGTTTGGTCTTTTTCCCCTAGCAAACAAGCATTTTAGCACTATTTTCAGGATGAAAAAATATTT